TTTTCTTGTCATTTTTGGAAAAACTACAGGATGCAATGACCAAAAAGACAATAAAGGATTAGATGGTAAGTGGTTATCAAATGAAACATTAGATTTGCACATGATTATTGCCCAAGTATTTAACTCATTAGCTAACTCATCAATTTGATTCATATTATATGGAGTAATAATTTTATTGGGAGAAATTCCAAACACTCCCTTTGCTGCTTTTATTCCTTTGAGTATTAATTGTCCTACAGCCTCAGGATACCTAGTAAGAATAGTGTTAGGAGAATAAGATAAATGTATCCATAATAATGGACCTTCTTGCCAAAATACTCCTGTAGGAATATTTTTTGTTGGTAGTACAATAAATAATAAAGGCAAACTTATATCAATTCTATCCAAATGCATATTTTCCATATATGTTTCAATGATTTTTAATGCCTTTCTTGCTTCAGGCGTTAACATTCGGGGTGAATTTGGATCTGATGGACCTTTTAGGATATCAAATAAAGGTCCCAACTCTCCTGTTGGTATACCTAAATAAGGCCTTATCCAATTTATGTCTCCTAATAACTTTTGAAAGTCATTAAGTGATTTGAGTTGATCTACTCGTATTTGAATTTTTGGTGGACGGACCATGGTTGAGGATAATAGAACTCCTAAATAATTAATTGGAAAATTTAATTGTACTTTATCTATTGCTATCTCTAGATTATAATTTTTTAATAAGTTTGTAAGTGTGGCATAACATTCTAGCAATGTGTTTTTATCTTTGTGTGCTAATAATACATCATCCATATAGTGAAATATTTGTAGTTCAGGATTTTGATTTCTAAGTGGCTGGATTGCTTTGTTAACATAAATTTGACACATAGTTGGGCTGTTAGCCATCCCTTGAGGGAGTACTTTCCATTCATATCTCTGATCAGGACCTTCATGATTCAGTGCAGGGATAGTAAATGCAAAACGTGGACTATCCTCAGGATGAATTGGAATTGAAAAAAAACGATCTTTAATATCTATAACTAAAACATACCAGGTTTTTGGCAAAGCAGACAACTGAGGAATCCCTGATTGAGCAGGTCCCATAATAACCATCTCATTATTAATGGCTCTTAAATCTTGCAATAATCTCCATTTACCAGATTTCTTTTTGATGACAAAAATGGGAGTATTATGGGGAGATACAGAAGGTTGTATATGTCCTTCCGCTAATTGTTGTTTGACCAGGTCATGGGCTGCTTGTATCTTTTCTTTAGTCAGGGGCCACTGAGGAACCCATACTGGTCTTTCTGATTTCCAAGTAATTTTTATTGTCTCAGTGGCCCTTTCTGAAAATCCAACCCATGTCTGTCTGTTCCTTGATCTATTTGTATTGGTGCTGCTATACCTTGTTCTTGTTTTTCTAATCTTTTTCCTTTCCTAAAACCTTGTCTAGTCATAATAGTGGGTGCATTTTGGTTGATGTTATTTGTTAATGTCAAACCTAATTGATCTAGGACATCTCGTCCCCATAAATTTACGGGAAGATGATCCAATACATATGGCTGTATAGTTCCTTCACATCCTTCAGGATCCTTCCAGTCTAATACCATTGCACTTCTATGGGGATTAGTCGCCACTCCTAGGCCTCGAAGCGTTTGAGTGGCTTGTTGTAATGGCCAATGTTTTGGCCATTCTTGACGAGAGATGATGCTAAGGTCTGCACCTGTATCCAGTATCCCATTAAATTCATGTCCTTGAATATTTAGTTTTAGCATGGGGCGAGAATCTAAATTTAAAGAAAGCATAGCCCAATCTACACCTGTGGAACCTAATCCCTTGGAACCTCTTTCTACAGTACGACTGGAAAATTTATCATGTAGGCTGGGTATTATTAGTAACTGTGCTATTCTATCTCCTGGTGAAATTACTGATATACCCTTTGGAGAACTGGCTATAATTTTTATTTCACCTTCATAATCGGGATCAATTACCCCAGGACTTATCATAAGTCCTTTTAGAGTAGAAGAGCTGCGTCCCAATAATAAGCCTACTGTTCCTTTGGGAAGAGGTCCTTTCACTCCTGTGGGAATGATTTGAACTCCCATCTCTGGAGTTAGTACTGCTCTGGCGGAGGCGCAGATGTCCAACCCTGCGCTCCCTCTGGTTTGTCTGATGAGGGATCTGATGGACAATGTGTCCTGGGCACTACCCTGATGGGGTTGCTGGGTTCCTCCAGTGCTCCGTATATTTGTGGTTTTGGGCCCCGTAGCATTGGGCCCCCTTGTCCATTTTTTGGAACTATGCCTTGTCCCTGTGGATTGTATGGGATTCCTGTTATATGAGTAATGCCAAATGTTGAGCAAAATTGTTTAAAAGAGGTAGAAGTATAACCAGGGGCATTATCTGTTTTTAACTGTTTTGGAACACCCACAGTGGCAAAATTTTGTAAGCAATGAGCTATAACATCTTTAGTTTTTTCTCCGGCATGAAGGGAGCCCATCAAAAATCCAGAAGAAGTATCAACTGTAACATGCAAATATTTTAATTTTCCAAATTCTGGCAAGTGTGTGACGTCCATCTGCCAAATATGGTTAGGTATCAATCCTCTAGGATTGACTCCAAGATTAACTTGTGGTAAAAAGGTCACACAATTTTGACATTGTTTTATTATTTGTCTAGCTTGTTCCTTAGTTATTTTAAAACGCTTTTGTAAAGTATTAGCATTGACATGGAACTTTTTATGAAAATTTATAGCTTCTTCTAGTGTAGAGAAAATATGTATGTCATGTGTAGTTTTATCTGCTAAATCATTGCCCAATCTTTATTCTACAACCTTCTATTGCTCAGGGAGACACTAAATAAGTGGTTGAGCAAGAGTAGTGTTTGCCTTGTGGGTATGAAGTATCACTGTTAGCAGAGGAAAAGAAAGGAATGATACTTTAAACACACAAATACACACAGAGTAAGAGACCAGGTGAATGTTGACAAATGTGTCTTAGAAGTCATGGTTTTTAAATAAATCCATAATAAGTGCTCATGGGTGCTTTTTTGCCTTTTTCATATAATAACATAGCTCACAAATGCCGCAGTTCGGCTGCAGCAAAATAACCGGGGGGTGACGAACAACTTGTGTAGACTGATACAGCAGGAGTAGGAGCTGTTTATTGCAGGACAGGAGCAGTAGTTATCCATTCCACACAGCTTATCTAATTAGCATAAACTAGATACATCAGTCAACCAATAAGGAATCTCCACACTTAATGGCTCCCTGGTGTTACTTCACAAACCACTCCCTCTGGCATTTTGCCAGGCACCATCCAGACTTGTTTACAGACTCTAACATTTCTCTGGCAAAATGCCAGGAGCCATCCTTACTTGTTTACAGACTCTAACATTTCCCCCTTTTGTTTGATTTAAATAACGACCATAGTGGTTTTTACAGAAACACCATAAATAACCTGCTACAAACAGAAAGGGAGGATACAAAATGCCACAATACCAAGCCAATTGATGGCTCCATGCAAGAAGCCCTTGGAAAAATTATACCAGCAATGACACCGTTAGCAAAGATACCGAGTTACAATTTGTTGTAGATTACAGTTTGTTGTCTCAGTCCAGGTAAAGCAGTGTCTCAAATAGATTAACTCACAGTCCAGGTAAATCACAGTCCAGGTAAGTTCTGCAGGCAGCTAGCTTAAATCACAGTCCAGGTAAGTTCTGCTGGCAGCTAGCTTGATCCGAAGTCTCGTCCGGTTCTCAGAAACACTGGAAATTCTTCCACCTTCCTCTTCACCGGCACTGGGACGAAGGCAGGAACTCTGGATGGCTAAAGAAAATCCTGTAGTATTCCACTAAGAAAACAACCTTCTGAACAATTTAGTACATTATCTCAAGGTTTCTTTTTTTTACATTTAAAATAAGCCTTAATAGTGCTCATTACTCATTAGCTTTCAGGTGTGGGAGAACCATTGTAGCTTAGTTATTGGCATTGAAAATGACCAAACATCAGGGACACCAGTAGCGTCTTCTGCTGGCTGTAGTGCCTGGGCAGCCCCAGATGGCCCTGGGGAGTGTCCCGGACTCAAACTGCTACTGGGCACAGGGAGCAAGAGCCTGCAAGACTGTGCCTCCAGGTCAGGTCTAGATTTGGGCTCGCGGCAGTGGAAGAGCCAGCTCCCCAGCCAGGAGGCGGGGAAGGGCCAGTCGCCGCCGCCTCTTGGAAAATCCTTGCTGCGCTGTGACCGGCTTGCACACTTGGCAGCCGCCTCTCCGCTTCACGCACCCTCTGGTAACGAAAAGTATTTAGTAATAGCCTTTTGCTGCAACTTTTTTCCTGATAATCCTTCTTCTTCTGAACTTTCTTTTTCTTTCTGACTAGAGTTCCTGGGCTCTTATCAACACATGCCCTAACTATTCTTGGTTCCACTGGGGTGCCTTCTTCCCTTAGTAATTTACTTCTCACCCCTTCCATATTTTCATCACAAAGACAATACAATACACTGAGACAAAACAAGACACAAACATACTGTATCAATCTTTTCCATTTTCTTGAAATGGCCATTTTTCCTCTCGCCCTATCTGCCTAGGGACGAGCAGATTGCTCCCGTCCTATCTATGGACGGGCAGCTTTTTTTTTTTTCGTCACTTACCCCCGAGTGTCCCGGGACTCCCCGTAACGGGCCACCAGCTGCAGCATAACGGGGGGGGGGGGAGTGAAATTGTTTTTCAGTTATGTAGAACAATATTTCTACATACATATTATTGATCATCAAAGGACCACCATATATATTTGTGCAGATTTACATTATACATCAAATGTATATACATTATACATCTCATTGTAATTTTATGTCATTGGTGCTCCCTAGAATTTTTACATGCAAAATGAGTCTACCTTTTCGTCCTTAGTCATCAATTCTGAATTTAGTTATTGCAACATATCTGTAAATAAAATTAACATATAAAAGTCACCTAAATAGCTATTAATAAATTAATAATTACTGTGCCTTATAATTTTCTTTCGCCTACAGCCTCAAGATATTCAGAAGACAGTATTAAAGGGAATCATTAACAGCCTATTACGAGAATGGAAAGGGTAATTATAACTAATATTTAATAAGAATAGATGATTAATTTACACATCTTATATATCTTTAGTTTATGTGAATGTATTTCACTCTCAGGAAATACTTTTGAGTTATAATTATAACATGGATGAGAAAGGAATTAAAAGCCATTTTCAACAAAACTGACATAAGATATATGAAGTCTCAGGAAGATCTGTACATAGACAGGAATGAAGAAAATCTGTGATTCTTTTAAAATTGCATATAAAAATTTTGTGTACAGATATATTTAGTTTGCAAACAATGGACGGGTACTACTCAGTAACCTAAGTGAAATAATATGCACATTATATTTAACCTTGGGCTTCCTGATAGCCAGAGAAAACTTGAGAAAATCAGTTGCTGGCCTCAGAAAGAAGAAATTTTTGTTACTTCTCAGTTAACTATCTTAGGACTGAAAAGATAAGGCTAAACTGGGAGCCAGCTATTTTGAGTATTTTAATAAAAATATCAAAAACATTGTAAGGAATCAAACCTACTCATACTACTTGTTGTATGTGCCTGATAATTCGTGTGGGTATGAATGACATTGCCAGACATATAAAGTCCTAGGTAGACCAGGCAAGGACTTGGAATTAAAGGTGATAGATTAGAAATAGATTGAGTGGATGAGAAAGAAGCACTCATCAACCTTGAGAATAACAAATGCTTTAGTATCTGAGTTTTTTCATCCAGGATCCCATGAAGGATCTTGAATTGCATCTCGTTGTCATATAGGTTAAATATATTTAATTCAGAAAGTTACTTCTGGTTATCTGTGTGAGTATCAAATATGTCTTGAGCAATTGAGTAACACTAGCTTACAGAATAACAAAAGTTGTCAGTGAATTCTGATGCTGTGAAAATTCAGATTAACATGGAAAAACAATTTAAATTACTCTCTTTTCAGAGATATCCAAAATACGATTCTTTTGATTAAAATATTCTAGGTGCATTCAGAGTGTGATTTGATTTGCAGACATTTCTGTCACTTAAGGAATGAACCTATAAACACAGACATATATTCTTTAATGAATAACTATTAAATAAAGATTATCCCTTATTAAAACAAAAACACAAGAATGTAAAATTGAAGATTATTATTAGATACTTAACTATTTCCAGAGATAGTCATGATTTTTTATCTTACAAAATATTATTGCTGTCTTAGTTAACTCAGTCTTTAGATATCTTCAGAACCAGCCTAGGATAGACATAGAGTAATTTATATTCCAGCATATTAGAGATATGTTCCTGTCAGTAATAATAATGTTATGTTCACTTAAGGTTTTTGTTTTGTTTTGTTTTTTGGTTTTCTCAATTCTTACAGGAATATTTATTGGTCACTTTTAGTTAGATACCATGAGATTAAAACATTCATTATAATCAATTATGCTTGTTTCTGTTTCAGCCCACGAACAAAAGATGATCTTAGAGCATATTTCATCCTTTTACAGGTAAGAGAGAAGGAATTTAGTGAAAATTGTCTAATTCAGATCTCAGTATGTACATATGAAAGTGAAATTATATCAAATGGTAAGTATCATTTTGGTCAATGTTATTGATACTTTTTAGAGTTATAATGACTTGTAATCAATGCTGTAACAAACAAACATTCAGAAGCTAAATTATGGAGTATTAAAATTTTAATAAAGTTCTTGCCTTAGCTGCCATAGTATTCAGGCAGTACAATGGCAGTGCTTCTTCCTTCTCCTTTCAAATCATCTTTCTTCCAATTAACTTTAATGAGCTCTAAGATGTTATCTTAGCAGCATACTATACTCATTTTATTCTTTACAGTTCATAAAAATTGTTCATGTATATTAATTTGTTTAAAGGTAAAAACACATTAAATAAGATATAGTGCTTATTTCAATAATGCAATGCTATAAAATCAATATTATGCCCAGTAAAAGGCAAAAAAGAGAAAGGGAGACAGAACTAAAAAGAAAAAGTGGAAAGGGAGAAAAAGTGGCTAAGAGGTAGTTAAGAAGAGAGCGCAATAAGCTCTGTTCATGATGTTCTTCTCTGGAGCCATCACTACATGAAGTTATCAAGTAGGGTCATTCCCTAATTTTGAATTGTCCTGCCAGTAAATCAGTTTTGAAAAACACATGATACTTTCTTGTTTTTCACAATTTCAGTTCATTTTTCCATTATGTTCACTTTTCACATGAAATGATGAAAAGTGCATTGTGGTAAAGCTTTACATTTTGAAGACATAAGTGGAGGTTTTGCTTAGCACTCCTTCAGTCTCCCTTTCACATTTAAAAGTTGTTAGATGCAATTATGAGATTCTCCTCTTATTCTTTGTGAGATATGCAGCTGACTCTCACAGTGGCAAAAATTTCCCAACTAGCTTTTCACTTTTTTTAGCATTTTTAAAATCAAAGAAAGGCTGAATATTTTGTTTAATTGGGTAATAGTGATTGCCAGCTTTTATGAAGGCATTGAGCTAGATGTTTTATATACACTTTCCTTTTTAAATACAACAACTCTTGAGATAGATACAATTATTCCCATTTTACAGATGAGGAAATTGACAAAGTTTAAGGAATATGTCTAAAGGTAAACTGTTAGTAAGTAGTAGAATTGGCCTCAGACTTGGATCTGTCTTAACTCCACAGTTCATGCTGTTTTCACTGTATCACAGCCTAAATCAATCTCTATTTATAACTAAATAACAGATATATTATTGTTTTAAACTATTTTATAATCTCAAATTTAGTTTCCTGAATTTTTCACTTAACTCATTTAGTGTATTTCCTTTGACTTATCTTTTTCAGAATCCTCAATTTAATAACACATCTACGTATGTCATCTATGCTCACTTGCTACGACAGACAGCTACCTTAGTGGAAGCTGACCATCATTTCCTAGTTCACTGGTTTAAAAAGTAAATCATTCTATAATATTAAGAACTTTTGTAATCTCACAGTTTTAAATTTGATAGTAATACTTTTGTAATAAAATATATTTGAATGGCTTTAGGTCTTTAGAAATTATGCTTTTATAATTAATAATGCTAAAAAGTCAATTATAAAAATATATATAGTACTACAAAAGTGATAAGCATAAGTGTTTTTAGTGTAACTAACCATTTTGCTTGTGTAAGCTGTTGAGAATTTCCATCCACTGTTTTCAATTTTTATATAGCACATTCATATCATTGGTTTTTCATGTATCTCAAAGATGGTGACTGGTTTTGCTCAGATCTTACATTTTAATGTATGTTCTTTTTATTTCCTATATGATTGATTTATAACAAATTTCATCATTATTTAAATGGTGCTTCCTCCTCAGCTAAAAACATCATTATTGATGTATAGGTTAGCCATCAATATCAAGTTGTAAAAGCACAATACTCTTTTTTCACAGATCTGTTATCAATATTAACAAAGACTTTTCTCTATGGTAGGTCAAAGCTTAAAAGGCAAAATATTTCCAAACTGAACTTAAATTTAGTCAGTTATTATTCACAATATTCTACAAAGTCATCGTAAACACCGAATTAAAAAATACTGACTGAGACAATGCTTCTTAGGAAAATACAGCGTTAGGTTCCTGGGACTTTCTAATTGTATTTTTGTCAATTAGTCAGTGCACAACTTTGCTTTATGAATGTTCTACTTTAAAGACACTTAAGTTGTTGATTCATTAACATTGAACTCATGGCCAGCAGTATTATTGTGCCAGTTTGAAACTTGTCTAATACATATTTTCTCCATAAGGCACATTACATCCTCCTTGTTCATAGGAACACTGGATAGCAATTCGTCATTATGCTTAAGGGCCATTTGAAATAGCATCCTCACCAAAAACACACAAAAATATGAAAAACATGTAGAGGACATTTGTTTACACTCTGAGAGCTAAAATAAGAAAGCAGAGCATAATTTTATATGACCTCAACTGGGAATGTGCATGTCAACTCAAAATTTTCACCATTTCTTGCATGTTCACAAAGCACAAGTATTGATTTTGGGATTGCAATTAAATATTAGCAAGTAGGCAAATTTGCATGTATAAAATCTGTGAATAATGAAGATTGAGCAAATATTCAAAGTCTTAAAAATTTAATTATTAACCTTATAATAATTTTGGTATTTATTTCTTAATTAAGAAACAGTATTCAAGGTAAGATTTTATCTTTTCAAATATTTGGCAACTTAAGAGATAGAATTTGAGAGACTAGTCTAAAATTTTATGTGTGTAGGATATAGTTTGATATAAATATATTGCCAAAATTTAAAATGTGAATTTTGATTAGAATTATTTCAAAATCTTTACCAGATTATCCCAGAAGAGGTTCAAACAATTGGTAGAGAGATTGCTGCAATTTATTTCTTTACGCCTGTTTCCTGCAAAGCCTGAAGAATTTCCCCCTATAGCAAAATGTTCCTGGTGGATTCCATCAGCATCTAAAGTGTTGGCTTTACTTAGTACGTTTTTATTATTCTATCATTTTCTTTGCTTTTGTTAAATCTCAGGGACATTCTTAAGGATCTCAAAGTACTGTAGAATCAACATTAAATTTTAAACCATTCCTTTGAAGGAAAAAATATATTTTGTTTTGATAATGGATTTCACAACTAATTTACAAGCATGAAAAAAGCTTTATACCTTTTACTGAGCAATAGTCTATATTATGGTATTAAGTGTGTATAGTTAATTGCATATAAATGATCTGCTAATTGTGATTCCCAAGAAAACATGAACTTTAGTTACTGAGGACCCTTAGGAAGAATTCACTAATACAGCAATATATGAATAAATGGCCATCTGCATGCTCTTCTTAGTACTTTTATGATCCACATAGCAAGTTTTTTTTAAAGTCAGAAATGGTTAGCTGTACTTTGACCACAATGTTAAAATTATCTTTTTCATTTGGAACTTTAGTTGTTTAAAACAGCAGCCTTTAGGTCAAGGAAAGCCACTGGACATTAAAATGGTGTTTTTATTATTAAAAGGAAATTGTGTGCATGTTGGAAAAGATCATTATGTTAGAATTTATCTTTACAGATACTGCAAACAATTTGGTTGACCCGCCCCTTATTCCTTATACTGATTTCTATAATTCTACATTGGATCACATTGATCTCATGGAAGAATATCATACTTGGCAGAGCTTTGGAAACTCTCACAGGTACCATTTAATTATTCACCTAAATGAATTACTATTCAAAATAATGATTGGATTTTAGGTTTGTATAAATAAAATATCTATATCTATATATAGGTATATAGTTATAGATATATACACACCATACCTTAACCTCTATAATTTAGATACCCAGACTTGAAATATCATTGTATTTGTTAAAACATTTTCTTTTTCTGCTATATTTTGATTTTATATATATGTTGATTTGGTTTTAGTTTGGTTGATAGCATCTTTTCAAGAAGGGAAAGGTTCTGTCCTAGTAAAAAGTTTCTTATATCTTATTGTTCTATATGCTGTCAACTAGCAAAGAGATCAATAAATTTTTTCTGTAAAGGACTAAATGGTAAATATCTTCAGTTCTGTGAGCTATACAGATTGTTTTGTTATTTTAGCACAAAAACAGCCTTAGATGATTATATAAATGAATGAGTACATTTGTATTCCATATAGCTTTGTTTACAAAAACAGATGGTAGGCCATATTTGTCCTGGGGAACATGGTTTGCCAGTGCCTAATCTAATATATTGATCCCATAAAGATGTACACATAAACATACACATTCACTCCTTTTCGCCTTCCTTCTGTAGGAAAAGTGACTATCCACTAGAAACAGTACAAAATAAATAGATATTACAGAGAAAGGGCTTCACCACAAATTACTTACAGTAGTAGATTTTCGGAATACTTGACCAAATTTTTTAATATACTACACTTTCTCTTCATAGTTCTAGTTTGGATTAAACCAACAAGACTATTCTAAACATTCCCAAACCATGAGATATCCAGGAGGTTGTCATATTTTAAAGTTACTGAGTAAGAGATATGGTTTAGATATAAATAAACTCAAAACCCCATATTGGTTCACAAATTGGTTAAATTTTCCAGGGCCCTCCAAGCTATCAGAATTGACCTAAAACACAGAATGGCCTTCCAGAGATGCCTGAGTCCACATCTGAACACTCAAAGACTGAACAAAAATTGTTTAGAGAATTCTGATCAGTCTGATGGATGTTTTCTTGGCAAAGTTTATTTTGCAAAGACACTTTTCCCTCCCATTTTAATACAATCATAACCATAAAACAACTCCCACAGTTGTTCATGTTTCAGTGACATCTTTAATACAAAGCTTCCACAGCACGGTGTATTGAGAATGAATTATATAGGATCCATCAGCCCTTGGTGACACCCTGAACATGAGAAGAGGGACCTAGAATCTTAGGTAGGGCAAATTGCTTCTGACCATGAGCAGTCTCATCTGTTTCTCTGGGTGTTTCATACACATGGTATCTTTTTTCAAGGGAAAGGTTAAGAAGCAGTGTTTTAAAGTACATAATAAAACCAACACGTATCCTGCTAAGTTCATTGCATTTTCTTTTGTTTCCAAATTTTTGGTTGGCATTAGTGATTCAAAATTACAATGCACTACCTCTGAACATTCCTCCTGTGTATTAACAGCTTTGTCCCAGAGTGAAAGCTATCTCATTTTCAGTTCACATGAGGCCTATCTCCTTTTTCTTCATTACATCATGATGCTCTACCTGACTCTGCTCAGATGGTACCTGACTCTGCTCAGGTGGTTTCCAACTATAACTGATAGATTTATTGCAGTCATTTCTGATAGGAGTCTAAATCCTAAAGTATCATTGCTGCCATACCCATTTTTTTCTAAATGCATTTCTATCTGTGTAGTCTGTGGCTTTTGTACATAAGGACTCTGACCCAGGAGAGACATTATTTTCATAAATTTTGATGATAATGTTATGCCTTTACAATTAAGTACCACTTCATATCACTACACTATTAAATACAGTACCACTAGCAACATACTCCTTTTCCTAATTTTTATTTTGTCTTAAATTTATTACTTTGCTTTTGCATACTATGGTTATTGCTATATTTCTTATAATAATGGATTCTTATCTTAACTTGAACATATGAGTCTCTGTCCTAAGCCTTCTTTATTAACACTTCGGCCTCCTGGTTCTGGTGTTGGCTGTGTTTTTCAGATTATCATATATAGGTGACTATATAAACTGAAGTTATTTGTATAAACAATGTACATGATTAGCACACATTTCAGAAAATTAGATGTAGCTTCCTTTAGAGAATGAAGGCACTGTACATCTAGTAATGATACATTCTTCACAGGGCTGTGGGAATTAAAAGGTGCACATAAAATCATTTCGTAAATGGTAAAACACAATACAAAAGTAATGTTTTATATTGTTAGAAGGGATACCTAGATTCCCTTAGTGTAATTTTGCTAAAAATACACCATTTTGCTTTTTCTGTTTTCACTTGTTGAGCAGGTTTTCCTTCTGTCAGTACCCATTCGTTATTTCTATAGCTGCAAAAAAAATCATTATTCAGAGAGACTCAGAACAACAGATGATAAGCATCGCAAGGGTAAGCCAGATATAAAAAAATATTTATGCTGACTATAATCAATACAGTAAATAATTTAATAAATAAGTCAAATGTTTTGTGAATTGTTCTAGTGTAATCAGGAAATGTTAAAAATAAAATTCATATCCTAGTCCCTCCAAAAGTGCTTAAACCTGTTCACATGGGAGACAAGACACCCCTCATCAAATCAACTTCTCATTATATTTTAAATTTAACAGAAGATTAAATGTTCTCACAGATCCAAATTACAGGAAGTTTGTTGAACCTTGTAAAGCTCCTGCTCTAGTTAACCAGAAAAACATAAGTGAAAAATACAGAGAGGAAAGGAGCGTCCTTAAAAAAATTACTAAAAAAAAAAAAAAAAATTGCAACATTTTCAAGGTTTTATGAAAATCAGAAACCACCAAAAAATTAGTAAATATAACAAGAAGCATACATCTTGGAGAACTGAGAAATATTCTCAAAATAGGCGAAAAGGTTTTTTATTGGTTCTTAGGAAACCAGAATGCATGGATGCTTGTAGAAGCTAGGATTGCAGTCAGGCTGACGTTAGGCAAATTGTAAAGCCGGATAAAGTTTATCTCTGGGCCTGTCCTTATCACTCTCTACTGCTTTGGTTAGCACAGCACAGTAAAGTTATGTACTTTATCTAATAGAAACCAGATACAATGAATTTTTAATTAGAGTTCTAGACTATACATTTATATGCTTGTGTATTTCAAGCTTCTTACATAACATGATTGCTCATAACTTTAAAAATTAAAAGGAAGCTTGACTATAGTCTTCTTATAATAGGAAGAGTAGAAAGAAATGATTTTTTTGTCTTGTCCAAGAATATAAAAAAATCCTAAGGTATAAATTGTAATATTTCAAAGTACTATAAATAAACGAGTTGTTTATTCTTAAGTAATTCATTCCCAGAAGGTGAGTATTTTTTTTCTATCACAGAAGAGGACAAAAGGTTTCAGTGACTGGTAATATCCCAAAGTCATCTTATAACAAGTATGGGTCTATTAGAAAAAAGTTTATTGCCTGTGCCTTCCAAAGGAGTTCCAAAGTCACATTGCCCCCTTGAAGATTGAGTTTAAACAGGTATATTTAGCACCAGAATTGTTACTTGATCTTGGGTAGATACTGGCTCAAAGATTAATCTGTATCACTCATTTTGCATTTGTACAATGTCATGGGCTTTTTAATGCTTTTTCAATTTGGGCTATTAATTTTTATATTTGTAAGAAAAATCTAAAGAACTACAAGTTTATCTAAATATCTAGCGTTTTTATGTCACTCACATTTAAGATCTTAAATATCATTTTGTGGATTTTTTATCTTCTTAAAAGGAGAGTGGCAGGTATAGTCACAGACTGTCTTTCACAGAGCATGAAAGCAAATGAGTAGAGACTGAAGAGTCTGATGGCATTATCTGTTACAGACATTTCCCAACATATTAACTTATAAACTGCCATACCACTTGGAATTAAATGACTGATAACTATTTTTGACACAAGGATAGCCTTACCAGGTAGTCAGTATGAGCAAGAGCCTATATGATACAGTCTACAGTTGCAAAGGGGCTCCCCTAAAAACAACTTTATCACTCAGATTATCTAGAATTCTACCATTGTTAGGTTTCTTTCATTTGGAGCATTTTCTAGGAAATATAAATTCCTAAGTAGTAGCCACTAGGGTTTTCTGCTATTACCATCCTAGAATACATTTATTTATTAGGTATTTTCATTGTGATAGCTTCCAAGTAGCTAGACTAGGAATAGAAGACAGTTTCCTGGAAAAAGGTCCACAGCACAGCTATCCCAGGAATGTAGATCTCTTTGGTAAGGGAGAAACCAGAGAAGCAAAAGGCTTTAGGATTGGATATTGGAGCAATGGAAAAGATTCTAAATTAGTTGGTCTTGTTATGGTAATCTACAAAACCATAAGTAACCTCAAATCATATAGAGTTAGGGTATTACAATTTTATTAAAGTAAATTACCATATGAACTTAAAGTATTTGAAATATTCATCTTTAATCTGCACAAAAATTGATTTTCATTGTTACCAAAGAATATGAAGTAGTCTGATAAAGATTATTTAGGTAGATAAATATATATGCATGTAGATTTTATATGATAAGTAACATTTATATAGCTTTCTGTACATTTTTAATATGTTGGTTTTTATATACTCAGTGCTTATATTTTGAAAACTCCTAAAAATGGATTTTTAAAATCACCCATATCTCTATAACCCAAGAATAGTATTATTAACATTTTAATAAATTATATTTTGATATTTTCCCCTATATTATCTTTAAAAATCAACAGGGTTGAAATAGTATTATACACATAGTTTTATTTACTACTTTATTCAGATATGCCTTCCTTGTACTGTTTATATAGTTATGACCATTATTTTTTAGTACCTGCATTATTATAGTCTATCAAGTAGATATATACTTAGGATATTTCTAAAGTTTTACTCTTAAGGATAATACTGTGTTGAACATCTAATGATATAAAATATTTTCTAGGGGCTGGGGTTGTGGCTCAGTGGTAGAGCACTTGCATAGCACATGTGAGGCAATGGGTTCGATTCTCAGCACCACATATAAAACAAATAAATAAAGTTCCATCAATAACTAATAAAAATATTTTTTAAAAAATTAAATATTTTTATCTTTAGAATTCTCAGAAGTAGAATTATTAGAACAAGGTTATAAACATTGTTAAGGTCTTAATAATGTTGACCACTTACTTTCTAAAAGTAGACTAATTGTGCTTTTACAGTAAATTTAATGTCTGAAAAAGTTTAAGAAATCCAGGTGTATAGTCAGAAGTGCATATATTGTTTCAAATGTTCCCATTTTAAACAAAACTTTGGTATTTAAGAAATGAGACCCATGGAAACTATAATGTAACATTCTTTACTATAGGAGGTAAATTGTTTTTCGTCCTCTATTTTGGGGCTGCTTTAATTATCACTGTTCCAACATAAAGTAATAATAAGGCATTTTCACAAATCAAAATATGTATAACTGGTTTCATGAATTGTTTGAGAGGTGGAATAGATAAGAATTAAGTGATTTTGACTAATGTGTTTAAATGTTTTAAATGAAATTATAGTTTTAAGTAAAAGTGAAAATGTTTGCTTTCCTATTTAATTAGCAAAGTCTGGTGGATAAAGTATCTCGAAGACAGAGACCTGATATGAATATGTTATTTCTAAATATGAAAGTAAGGCGGACACATCTGGTTAGCGATTCGCTTGATGAGGTATAATTTATTACAAAATGGTATTAATTGATTAAATCTTTAAGTAAATTTTACAGTATTATTTATTACTAAAATCTTGGTAAATTTTTTTATTTCTACTGATGGTGCTTCCTTAAATTTTGATACTATACCTAAAATCAGTTCTCTATAAACCTTATGTTGATTTTTTTATATACTTATTTTAATATTTCCCTGTTACTTCTCTAGAAAAATGTTCAATGTGGAACACTTAAATTAGTAATTCATGTTTCTTAGTATGTGATCTGAATTCTAGACCCACCCATCTTTGCTGCTGATTCAGTATTAGCAAGTCATTTTAACTTTTCCGGGCCTCAGATTACTCATCTATGAAATTACAGGTCTGACCTTTCAAGGAATATTGGGCCTATTTAGATTCAAACAAACATTGATTGCCTGTGTGTACATTATAAAAGTTTCCTGCATGCATATTTCAGCCAGACCTTCATGTAGCTATTAGAAGATAATGACTGATTTAGCTACATGACTTTTAAAGGTTTAATGTTAAAGGAATGTTAAAACACAATGAGTTATTGTATATTGTAGCCTGCCATCTTAAAATTTTGGAGACATATTATGATACTTGGAAGCAGTAACCTTGGGCAAAACACCTGACCTCTTAACTCATTTTTCTGTTCTGCAAAAAAAAGAACAACACCTAGCTTACACAGGGTTGAGCAGATTTGTTGGGTGAATGGGTGGGGTTTTGTGATGAAGACTGCCTAACATGATTCCCAGAATTTAAAAAGTTAATTCCCTTTTCACTGACCTTTGTTTTCCTCTACTATATAATTTCTTCAAATAGTTAACCCGGAAAAGAGCGGACTTGAAAAAGAAATTGAAAGTTACATTTGTAGGGGAAGCTGGTTTGGATATGGGTGGCTTGACTAAAGAGTGGTTCCTTCTTCTAATTCGGCAGATTTTTCATCCAGATTATGGTAAGGATTTAATTTTTGTAAATAGTGTTTCTTCATCATTGTAAAGCATCAAGTAGTAACCCTTATTTTTAATCAATATTTTATAAACTTGTCAGTCATAAATTTTGAATAATTATTTAAGAACTTTAATTTACATTTAAAAAATTAACTAACTTGGTGATTGAAACGTTAGTTATGTTACTGGGTATCCTACACAAATGTGTCAAGACTAAGAGTATGCATTTGTGAGGAAATATCCATACCATTCCTGAATAAGCCAGATGCATGAAAATTTAATTTTTTATTGAAATAAAAAACATTCAAAATTAAAAAACAAAGCTGTAGTTTCTGCTATGCTAGTATTTGAAGTCCCAATCATTAAATAATGAGTCATTTTAAGAAATAGGAATTCATGAATTAATTTTTTAGGAAAAATGAGCATGTGAAATTTAAATTTTATTTAGAGAAACCACCTATAATCCTTTTTTAATTGATTTTATTTTTTAAATATGTAATAGTAGAATGCATTACAATTCTTATTACACATATAGAGCACAGTTTTTCATATCTCTGTACATAACGTATGTTCACACCAATTCATGTCTTCATACATATATTTTGGATAATGATGTCCATCACATTCCACCATCATTGCTAACCCCCTGCCCCTCCCTTCCCCTCACACCCTCTGCCCTATCTAGAGTTCTTCTATTCCTCCCATGCTCCCCATCCCTACCCGACTAGGAATCAGACTCCTTATAGCAGAGAAAACATTTGGCATTTGTTTTGGGGGGATTGGCTAACTTCACTTAGCATTATCTTCTCCAACTCCATTCATTTACCTGCAATGTCATGATTTTATTCTCTTTTATTGCTGAGTAAAATTCCATTGTGTATATATGCCACATTTTTTTTATCCATTCATCCACTGAAGGGCATCTAGGTTGGCTCCACAGTTTAGCTATTGTGAATTGTGCTGCTAAAAACATTGATGTGGCTATGTCCCTGTAATATGTTGTTTTTAAGTCTTCGGGGTGTAGACCGAAGAAAGGGATAGCTGGGCCAAATGGTGGTTCCATTTCCAGTTTTCCAAGGAATCTCCATACTGCTTTCCATATTGGCTGCACCAGTTTGCTGTTCCACCAGCAATGTATGAGTGTACCTTTTTCCCCGCATCCTCGCCAAAACTTATTATTGTTTGTCTTCATAATAGCTGCCATTCTGACTGAAGTGAGATGATATCTTAGAGTAGTTTTGATTTGCATTTTTCTAATTGCTAGAGATGATGAACATTTTTTCATATATTTGTTGATTGATTGTATATCCTCTTTGGAGAAGTATCTCTTCAGGTCCTTCGCCCATTTATTGATTGAGTTATTTGGTTTTTTTGGTGCTTAGCTTTTTGAGTTCTTTATATACTCTAGAGATTAGTGCTCTATCTGATGTGTGAGGGGTAAAAATTTGCTCCCAGGATGTAGGCTGTCTATTCACCTCACAGATTGTTTCTTTTGCTGAGAAGAAACTTTTTAGTTTGAATCCATCCCATTTATTGATTCTTGGTTTTAATTCTTACGCTATAAGAGTCTTATTAAGGAAGTTGGGGCCTAATCCCACATGATGAAGATTAGGGCCTACTTTTTCTTCTATTAGATACAGAGTCTCTGGTTTAATTCCTAGGTCCTTGATCCACTTTGAGTTGAGTTTTGTGCATGGTGAGAGATAGGGGTTTAATTTCATTTTGTTGCATATAGATTGCCAGTTTTCCCAGCACCATTTGTTTAAGAGGCTAGGAAGGATCTTGGGACCCTACAAGAGCACTACAAACCTATAGGGTAAAATAATAACACCCCAGACCCACAGAGCTGGAAAGGAAAACACATGAGCAACATGGGAAGACAAGGGAAGAAAGTACCACAAACAAATCAAGACACCACATCTTTAGAATCATTGGCAGCCATAGCAGAAAAATTTACAGAGAAGGAGTTCAGGCTATACATGGTTAAAATATTCTTTGAACTCAAGGAACATATAAGAGAGCAAATATAAGCAGTGAAAGATCACTTTGACAAGGAGCTACATAAACAAATCCAAGAAGCTAAAGATCACCTCAGAAGGGAGGTAGAGGTTCTAAAAACACCCAAACAGAAATCCTTGAAATGAAAGAAACAATAAACCAAATTAAAAGCTCAAATGAAAGCATCACCAACAGAGTAGACCACATGGAAGATAGGATATTGGACAATGAAGATAAAATATATAGTCTTGAAAAGAACAAATATTTGTTGATTGATTGTATATCCTCTTCAGAGAAGTGCCTGTTCAGGCCCTTGGGCCATTTATTGATTGGGTTTTTGTGTTTTTGGTGCTTAGCTTTTTGAGTTCTTTATATACCTTAGAGATTAGTGCTCTATCTGATGTGTGAGGGGTAAAAATTTGCTCCCAGGATGTAGGCTCTCTATTCACCTCATATATTGTTTCTTTTGCTGAGAAGAAACTTTTTCTCACCTATAATCCTTAATGTCTGTCAAGTATTTTTTTTCAAAGGAGAGTTTTTAGTGGTTTTCTTATTCTTTATTTCTATATTTTCTGTATTATGTATATATTGTTTTCTGTATTTTCTATATAATACAGGTATATATAAATAAGATATTTCTGGTAGTGGGGAAATAGGTATGACAGATAAATTGAAATCTCTGAATAATCCTCATTTTACTTTGATCATACTTTATAATTAAAATTCTGAAACTATAGTTTTTATGAATTTATCTGTTTAATTTAGTGTTTATCTTTTTATCCCATTTCTATTCTAAATTCAAGATATCAATGAACAGTAAAATGCCCTCTCCGTATATTGTTATTTACACACACACACACACACACACACACACACCAAGATTTGCAAATATATAGTCTGTTAAATAATCTATAGAGTTTTTAGATGAAAGATGGTATGTAAAAGAAAATTGCTAAAATGATTTGCTTCTAATCAGTAATATGTACATTTTAACCACTTCGATTGTTTTAAGGAATCATGTGAACAGAACTGTGTTTTCTTTTTTCAGGCATGTTTACATATCACAAGGACTCACACTGCCATTGGTTTAGCAGCTTTAAATGTGATAACTATTCTGAATTCCGATTGGTTGGAATTGTATCCTTTAAACTTTCCACTAGGAGGTGCTAATTGATAAGAGATTTTGAAAGATTTTATTTATTTTGGAAAAGTGTTCTTTTAGTAAATTAAGCATTCTTGTCAGATATATAAATAGATTTTTCTGTCATCTTTACTACATGTAATATCACAGCTATATAGCATCAGACTTAGTTAATTGAAAAGAACGGCTAACTATTGATTTTTTTTCTAAAACTCTTACTCAAAATAAAAATGGGCTATTTATATTTTATATATAATCTAAATTATCAGAAATTTAAAACATTTTTAAAAATTAAAGTATTTTCCATTTATAATACTTTTGTGTTCTTTCATTTTGTGCTTACATCACTCAGTTTAATAAATTGAAATTGTAATTAAATCTAGTTCTATAAAACCCCAAATCTTGAGACATAAGGGAGAAATCCTTAAAAAGTGAATATAATAGGAATGTATAAAGCATATGGTAGTATTTGGTAGTGTTTTTAAAATTTTATAAATCCATATCTCATTCTCTGGTCTCTAGCAGTTATATTGTGGAAGACATTCCTACAGGGTGGGAGATTAAGTAAGATGCCTTCTACATTAACTTTTTAAATTCTAAGGAATACAATTATGAAAGAAAGGAGGGAAGAGTAAATAAATGAGCAAGCACTAGAGACTTATAGGGTAAAAAGGAGAGATTCTTTACCTTAGAAGATTACCATCTAAATGAACAGATGACCTCCAATGCAAGGTAGACTGTCCTCAGAGTCAAATGGCCATGTACATTAAGTGCTAAGGAGTTCTGAGAAGGAAGAAATGAGTATATTCCTCCCGGATAAGGTAGAGATTTTAAAAGGAGCAATCACGTTTGGTTTACAAAAGACTGGGGAGAGTATGACATTATAATAAGCTGAGAGGATGGCAAGAAAAAAAGGTTGAATTATGTTGGGCTTATTACAGAACAGTGAGTACAATGGGAATTACTAAAGATACTACAAGGAAAAAGAATTAAGAGCCATCTTATTGAGAACTTTGAGTGTCTGTCTTTTTTGCATGCATTGGGATAAATCCTGGGGAATGAATATAGAAATTTAAAGGTCAAATGAAAGAAAAGGTAGCAGGAAAAAAAAACCTCACATTGAGATAGTAAGCTTAATTAAAAATTTTGTATATATTATCATGTCTAAACATCCAGAGTGTTAAGCTTCACGATATAGAAGAAAGCTTAACAATTCTTGGACTGCTTTATTCTGTTACCTACAGTATTTATTTGGTGAATGTGTTTCAGTTTCATTGGAGGCCCCAATCATTGGTACTTCTCACTACACTAAGACCAATTTAAATTTCCTGATATATGTGATTGTCACACTTTATATTCTTATACTACAACTTAATCTAGGTGATATTTTGGCTTTCTAATACTTGTAATAAAGTACTTAGTTATTACATTTTTAAAATAGTGCTTTATAGATACAATCATGAATTTGCTAATCTTCTTTTGCATTAGATTAGTTTTTATTTAGTTATTACCCAAAAGAGCATATTAAATGTGTTCACATGTCATATATTCCAACTTACACAATTAAACCTAAAATTATACTCTTACTATGTGTTTTGTCACCCGTACACAGAAACATATAGAAAGCAAGACTGATGCCCCCAAAAGTGTGATACTATAGGAAAAATAAGAAAAATGTTAGATGATAGTGAGTTAGGGTCCTGTCAGTGATTAGGAGATCTATCATCTATCAAAGGTGAGAAGACCTGAAAATTCAGATGTAATGGGCATGACCATTCGAAAAAAAAAAATACTTGGTTCTATTATATCTCTAGTTTTTTAAATTTTAGAACCAAAGATTTTTTTGTTCTATTGGTATTGTGTTTCTTTTACAAAATTATTTTTAAATATGGTAAGACCTTGGAATTTACAATTAATATTGTAATAAAACCTACAATAATAATTGTAAAATGCTTTGAAGATTACATGGAAAGTTATAATATATCATTATTTTAAAACTAGAATTGTCTATTATCAAAAAGGACATTGGAATCAAGAGAGGAGGCAATACAGTATAGTATAGCATTTCCAGACCCTGCTATTTGTATAACATCTCAGAGGTTCCAGCAAAAAAATTACCACATCTCCTTCCCTGCTTCAACCAGAGCAGGTTGATTGAGTGTGAAATGAAATGCTATGCTGTGTCTGCATGTGAGAGTGCCCTGTAGTAAATGCTATAATCCCACTTCCTCACCTGCCTCATCCTACCACTCAGGATTATAATATTTAAATTTTTAAAATATTTTTTTTAGTTTGTAGATGGACATTATTTTATTTATTTATTTTTATTTGGTGCTGAGGATCTCATCCAGTGCCACACATGTGCTAGGCAAGTATCCTACCACTGAGGCTACAACCCCAGCCCTAATATTTAAATTTTAAATGAAAATATGCTTAGAACTCATCACCATAATAGATTATAATAACTATTACAATCAATAATTGTAATATTAAGTTAATAATAACTATAGTATTGTGGCAGTCATTGTTGCTATTATTATAATTGTAGAAATGTATTAGAATACATTTTCAATATCTGTTTCCTTCAACACCCTAATCAGTCTGTATTTATATGGTTACTTATGAAATGGAATAGCTATTTCTTATGTTATTATGAGCCTTCATTCTGTCGTAACACATTAAAATATTATCAGTCTTTCAGTATTTAAGTTGTTTTCAATAATTTACTCAGCCTTATGTTTAAATTTCCTTTTGAGTCTATCAAATGAATTACTTCTAAAATAACTTTATGTAATGATTGGCAGTTGAAATATTATGAAATTTGACCCTTCTTTCAGCAAATGGGTAAGTTATTTTGTCACATAATTAATAGCTAAAATACAAATAGGCAAAGTTTATAACATCTGAGTTTTTTTAATTTTGACACTGATAAATTCAAGTAACAAATTCTTCTTACATTTTACTGTAGAAGACTACTTGCCCTATTAACTTATCAATAGTGTGTATATATCCATATGCTTATTCTTTCCTTCACATGTTTTGTATTTAATTTTAAAATAGCCTAAATAACCATTTCTAAAATCAGTAGTGCATTCTGCAGTGAGTCTTGAATAAACTCTTGCTGCTACTTATAAAACCACCAACATCTTTATTTAAATTTAGAAAATCTTTAATGTTAAATAATTTAAAGAAATGTCTGAAGTTGCTGTCTATCATAATCTTAAATAAGCTTTTCCAGGGAAATCACTACATTCTATCAATTGAATACCTCCTTTATACATGACTTTTGATAATCAAGGAGTTATATTACATAAAATAAAGGGAAAATAAGTGAAAGAGAGGAAAGGAACTATGTGGGACTAATTGTAACATCAGTGTTGAATCTGAAAGAAGTATGTAAAAAGTAGACTGTTGCATAATTCAAAACTCATTTGTTGTCATGGATTTTATGTTAATGCTTAACATTTAGTATGCATAGCTTATGGGACTAGCTGTTTATAACAGCATCACCTTGGATATTCGTTTCCCTCCTTGCTGTTACAAGAAATTATTGAGCCCTCCCATCGTTCCTAGTGATCAAAATATACCAGTAGGCATCTGCAGTGTTGCCATTGACGACTTATGTCAAATTATGCCTGTAAGTATAGATTACTGACATCTAGTCCCTTAATGCTAAATAATGTCTCTTCTACCTAAACAGTCTTTCTCCTTCTAGTGCTATTTTATTCTTGAATATTGTTTCCCTCTACTTTTGGAAACTCATCTTTTTTTTTTTTTCATATAGCTTCCCCCTTCTTTACAGAGACATATCATTACTTTGCAGCGTGCCTAAGCTCTTACAGAATAGAACAGACTTTGAAATCACAGAAGTAGTGATTTGAATCCAGTCTCTCCACTTTTTAGCTTTATGAATTTGCATTTAATTTAACCTTTCTGTGCTCCAGTTTTCTATGTAAACAGTGGGATAGTCTTTTTTAATAATTAAGACAAATGATGACAGTTATGCCAAATCTATATCACCTTAGATTTGTATGGTCAAAGTATTGTGTAAAGTATATAAAATAATTCCAACCATTCTGTTATTTATCTTTTTAATAATTTAAAAAATAAAACTCATTTTTTCATGAAACTTAAAAAAGTTTCAGGAATATTAGGTCAGTCATTGTATTTTTTAAAATATTTTTTAATCGTTGATGGACCTTTATTTTATTTATTTGTATGTGGTGCTGAGAATCAAACCCAGTGCCTCACACATGCTAGGCAAGCGAACTACCACTGAGCCACAACCCCAGCCCCTCACTCTATTTTTAAGTCCTTATTCATGGATAACTTGAGTTATAAGAAAATATTTCTTCCAATTTTCTGAACTTTTCCTTGGGAGAGAAGGGCATAGTAACTAAAATGTATGAACTACTTAACATGTGAACTGAATATTTTATGTTTAGTAGGTGAACATAAGACATTAGCAGATTTTAATAAGAATATAAATTGAAGCCAGGTGTGATAGCAAACACCTGTAATCTTAGCGACTCGGGAGGCTGAGGCAGGAAGATTACAAGTTCAAGGCCAATTTTGGCAATTTAGTGAGACTCACAGCAATTTAGTGAGAAACTGTCTCAAATTAAAAAAAAAAAAAAGTTCTGGGGATGTAGTTTAGTGTCCCTGAGTTCAATCTTCAAGATGAAAAGAAAAAAGATATTGAAAGAAGCAGCAGTGCAGAATATAGCATTGAGTTATGCTGGAAACCACAGTAGAGGTATGCTTCGCTTGCTGCTTAGGAATAGATCCTGCAGTTACACTTCTATGGTTTCTTTGGATAGCTTCTTCTTACATGGCCTATAATGAGTTTTCCTAAGCCTTTGGATGGTAAAAATCATTAACAAGCATTGTGTATCCTGGAAAATACATCTCAAATACTTATTTTGAAATCTGAAATAGTTTACTCTTTTATCTCATATGTAAGTGAACTATAATAGATCTATTTAACTATTTAAGGCAATACTAGTTGATCTGAAAAGATAGATAATAGATTTCTTTTTATAGGAATTGGCCCACGGATTAACTGAACTCTTATCATATGAAGGCAATGTTGAAGAAGACTTTTATTCAACATTCCAGGTACTAATAGGCATATAGCTATTTGTTAGCCATTAACTCATATATGAAAAATGCTATTTGTTACTAAACACTTGCTGTTAGAAAAGATGAACAAGGATTAGTCATCACAATCCCCTTCTGGAAGGATCTTAACCTGGTAGAGACAGTGAAGCAGACACATGTGGTAAAGCAGTCAGTGAAAGTCCTTAAAGAAAATTCACCAAGAATGAGGTACTCAGCTAGGCAGTTTTACACGTTCCCTTTACTCAGTTACTTTCTCCAGGTTTTTTAGTTTTCAAAACTAAGCCTCTCCTGTAACATCAACACAAGAAATTAAGAGTTAAATCTGATGGGTCAGACCAAAACACTCTCATTTTCACTGTTCTTACAATAGTTAGGAGATGGAAATTACAGTGATCCGCATAGCTGCTAAGTGTATCCGGCTGATGACCACACAGCTAGTTGTATGTTATGTGTTCAAAAGGGAAGGGACAATATCTATTCTTTTTAAAATTTACAATCCTGTTCATCTAAGCCTGTTGTTATGTCAGTGATACCAATAAACATGCTGTTATGGTATCTCCCATCAGGTTTTTCAAGAAGAATTTGGAATAATTAAATCCTATAATTTAAAGCCAGGAGGTGATAAAATTCCAGTTACCAATCAAAATAGGAAAGGTAAGATATTTTAAAAATAAAATGAACTAGTATTTACCATTTACTTTTACTGCATAACAAATGTAAAATTGCTTTTCAGAATATGTACAGCTTTATACTGACTTCCTTATCAACAAATCCATCTATAAGCAGTTTGCTGCATTTTATTATGGATTTCATAGTGTGTGTGCTTCAAATGCCCTAATGGTGAGTTCAAAACTTTAAGCTTTCAATTGGGTTTTCTAATACTATGACATTGACAAATAATTCCTTAGTATGCTTTTAAAATTAGGAAATTTTTCTACTTAATAATTCTCCCATTCTCTAGAGGTAAAAACAAACAAAAACCCCAGTCACTTCATTTTTTTCCTCTCCTCTTTTGCTGTCTTATACTGCATGTTTTAAGACTTGTAAAACTCTCCCAAAGAAAGTAGAAGAGACTTATGAATTTAAGGCTTACAACTGAGGGACCCAAGCACAGAAACAGAGTTAACATTTAGTTCCAGAGCAAAAGCCAGAACTTCTCTCTGATTATCATGTGTGTGTTTTCTGCTTCCTCAAGGGTCATTTAGCAACTCTGAGTTGCCTCTTACCCATAAGAAATAGTTTATCGCCAGAGTCATGGTAGACTCAGGTTGGTTTGGCTTGTCTTAATTGTGTGAATATGGGTTAGAATGTCAAGTTGGAAATATCAGATGATACCCTTCACCCCAGTACCCAGGGCAAATTCAACTGTACCACTTGCATCTCCCTTCAATTTTATGAATGATTGAAATAAGATCTTTCATTTGAATTATTTTTCTTAGCACTGAGAAATGGACTGTAGAAGTTACTTTGGAGCAGGAGCAGGGATCTTTAATCCTGATTGATTTTGAGCAATATTTATAGCATGTTTGTTGTTGAAAGTACCTTTGAAAAAAATATTTTATCAAGTCTAAGTTTTAATTATGATACACTGATGGTTGTGGGGATGGAAAGAGTTAAAATAAGAATTAAATGGCATATCATGATCTCTATTTTAGATATTTAATCTCTTAGGTGAGAGACTAACCACCTAAAGGGTGAAACAAGTGAGCACCAAAACAGATTGTAAATACCCAAGCTCTTCAGTGCACTAAGATGGTTTTGTGGGATATTGGTAGAAGGCAGGCAAATCAGTAGATATAAGAGCTTCATGATGCTTTGGGAGAAGAGTAATTTGGATTCATGCTAAGTCATTTGCTTGTTTTTCTGACAGACTACTAATTACTATTTTATAAGGTATAATAAACCTTAATGCAAAAATATCTTACTTTAGTAGGAAAAATGGAAGTGGAAACAATTTTTCTTTAACAAAAATTATTTGATTTTAAGTCATGATTTTTGTGATTTGAGTCAGTGAAAATAGTTTCTTTTTCATTTAAAACCATCACTTTAAAAAAAATCACTTTAATTATGATTTTTGATAATTATTGACAGCTGCTTCGTCCAGAAGAAGTCGAAATTCTGGTCTGTGGAAGTCCTGAACTGGACATGCATGCTCTACAGAGAAGTACTCAGTATGATGGGTATGCGAAAACAGACTTAACTATAAGGTGAGCTCCTTATACTTCTGGTAGGGGGTTGTAGAAAAGAGAACAAATAGAATATAGTTTGCTTATTTGTATAACTTATAATATGAATCAGTTAAGTTAACTGAATCCTTTACTATCTTATTTCATCTGTAGAAAGTAATAAGAATACTAAATATGAAATCTCTTAGAAATCCCCTTGGGAAAAAGTTATGCAAATGACTTTTTCAAATATTTATTTTTTAGTTGTAGTTGGACACAATACCTTTATTCTATTTATTTTTATGTGGTGCTGAGGATCAAACCCAGGGCCTCGCACACACTAGGCAAGCACTCTACCACTGAGCCACAACCCAGCCCTGCAAATGACTTTCTATAAAAGTATATTTTCCACTTATTTTAAAAAGTGACTTTGGTCTATATTTACAAATAGCATTTTAATAGCACTTGTTGGGCTGGGGAGGTGCTCCTAGGTATAGTGCTTGCCTAGCATGAACAAAACCCTGGATTTAATCCCCAGTACTGGGTGAAAAAATAGCATTGTGTTAATAAGACTTGCAAGTTATGTATGGAACAAAAATGAGTTTTGTACTATCTATTATTGGACTATTTATGTAATTTTATAAAATCGTTATTTATAATGATATTCAAAAATCTAATTCATATATAGAAACTCATTCTTTAATTTTACATTAGGGATATTATATATTGTAAGGAAAGTTTTTTTCTCATAGCTTACTTCATATTTCTTTATTATGATCTACATGAATTTTTGTCAGGCTATTTCATGTAAATTTCCTTTGGTGTTTTATAGATACTTTTGGGATGTTGTACTTGGATTTCCTCTTGATCTTCAAAAGAAATTGCTACATTTTACTACAGGAAGTGACAGAGTTCCTGTAGGAGGGATGGCTGATTTGAACTTTAAAATCTCAAAGAATGAAACTTCTACTAACTGGTAAATTTCCAGATTATAATTTTATTTTAATTTATAGGTTATTACTAATAAGAGTATTATATTTGGAATTAGAAGATTCTCTTAATCTGAAATCATTTTCATAGAAGAATCTTCAGAGTAAACATGGCCTTGAAATGAGAAAGACTTTAGCTGAAAGTTCTCTATTAGCTTTTGACACATACCAATACTAACTGATTGTAATTAATTTCCATCAACTTTTTACTTTGCTAGGTTAAATAATTGCTTTGTAGTCTCTTTTAGAACATAGCTTACTTGGTAGTAGTATATTGTCTGACCTTCCTTTGTATTTAAATATAGTTTTTATTTTTAGGGAAAATATTAAGTTGGAGTTTCTTATTTATTTATAGGGGTTTGGTCCTATTATACTTAGCACTATAGGCACCTCTAAAACAAGTCTTTTTTTAATGTCATGCTCTTTACATAATGAAGTAGTACTAAGAATGGCTTTGAATTATTTGCTAGTACTGTTTATTGGTTAATGCTTATCTACTTATTACTTTTCCCAAATACTTTTTAATTACTAAAGCCAATTTGAGTAGATACAAACTCTGAGTATAATCATTTTTCCCCTCCTGTTCTATGCATTGAATATTCCTCAAGTCCTGTCAGTTTTTTCTTTCATTTTAGAGCTGTCCTTTGCTTTCCCCGTTGCTACCACCCTGATTAGTTAACTTTTTACCTCAGTCCTAACTTATTTAAATAGTCTTCTTCCTAATTTACCTGCTCAAGTTCTTTCTTGTCTAATTAAATTGTCCTATTAAGCTCATTTTCCTTAACACTGTTTTGATCATGATGTTTTCCAGGGCAGTAATACTTCATTGCTCCCCAAAAGTTTAAGTTCTAGAATCTAGAACCTATCAAACAAAGCTCTATATCCTTCCATACTATGTATCATTTTCATTTTTTTAATGCTCTGATCAACAGGCTGTTTTGCTAGTTTCTTAAACACATTCCATGCCTTCCTTCTTCCATGACTTTAAGTTTTTCTCTTCACATTTAATATTTGCTTGCTATCTCTTTGGAAGACCCAGTTCAATGTCTACTTCCCTCTGTAAGCCAAAAGTCATCATTCATTCAGTGAGTGCCTCAAACACTGAAGGGATAATTCTATGTACTGTGTTATATTTTATATCTTAAGTCATTTAGCTCTTCAAGGCAGAGGCCAAGCCTTATATGCCTTTGTATTCTCCCTATAGCCCATACATTGAACAAATATTTAAGCAAACATCAGAATTATATTTCAAAACTTAAAACAAATGTTTATACACAGATGTGTATATAATTACTATTTCTGAACTAGATTTATAATTAAAGACCTAAAATGAGAAAACTACAATAGAAGCCTTCCAAGCTTTCAGATTTATTTGCTCAACATAAATTAATTTTTCAGAATATTTTATATTAACAAAAATACTATCAATTTAATTTGTTTGTGCTTGATGCTAGGAATCAAACCGAGGGCCTTGTACATGATAGGCAAATGCTTTACTACTGAGCTACATCCCCAGCCAAATAACCATTTAAAAAGGTAATCTGAGGAGTGTATTTTAATACAAATAATAGTAAAACAATAATTACTAATAAAACAATAGATGTCTGAATAAATAATATAACAAATAATGTCAATTACATATAAACTTTTTAAATCATTATTATTATTATTATTTCAGTGATTATTTTATGTGCTAATATAGCTTAGTCATGAATATACCACAATGCTAGGACTCCCAGTGGGAACTTCACATAGCTCTATAGCTTTGAATAGTATATTTAACCTGTGTACTTCCACATATATTTTTCTTCACCTATAAAATGAAACTAATAACGACTTCTTAGGTTGTTTTGACTCTTAAATGAAGTAATATATGTAAAAGCATTAGGCACAATGCTTATCATAGACAAGCATTCAGTAAATGTTAACTGGTCCTAATTATTATTAAGTCAGGAGAGCTCTCAAAGTTCAGCTTCTTTAAACTTCTTTAAAAATGTTCTCCTTTTCTCTGTTCTCATTTTTTTATTTGTTGACTTCTCTGATAGCTATTCTGATGCTATGAGTCCATAAAAACTGAAAAAAGGGATCTAAGGTATCTATAGAAATCTGGAATGAAGAAAACAATGTCGTCTGGTAGAGGGGTTAGGGGAGCTAACCAAAGAATCCAGAGGATGCCTATTGCATTTACATCAAAGGCAAAAAAACATTAAAAAGTGTATCCATTAGGGTTCCCAAAGTGCTCTTTTCATAACTTTTTGATGATTCGGACTGGAATACATTAACATTATATTATCTTTTACTTTCTAGGTGTTTTATGTAGATAGCTCATCTGTTCTTTTAAACAATTTAATTGGATAATTTACCCTATTGTGTTGATTAAGACAATGATTTGAAGACTTTAAGCAACTCAAAGAAAGTCCCCATTGCTAATAAGTGGGGAAAGCAATATTCAAATTCAGATCTGTCTGATTCCAAAACAGATGCTTTTCAAATGAAAGTTAAATTAGAGCAGGGATATTGATTGTCTAGTCTGTAAACGTAGCCGTAGTGTCCAGAATGATACTAGTTAGGTTCTAAATAAATATTTGTTCAGTATAGGAATACATGAGTCATATCTTGACAAAGTAAAATAGATTGTGTCTGATATTTTAAAAATTTCTTTAGCAGTCATTTTGTGTGCATTTTAAGACTTAATGTTTTCAAAAAATTATTTTCCCTAGGTTACCTGTGGCCCACACCTGCTTCAATCAACTTTGCCTTCCCCCCTACAAGAGCAAAAAAGACCTGAAACAGAAATTGATCATTGGAATTTCAAATTCAGAAGGTTTTGGACTCGAGTAGCCTAAAAGACTTGAAATATAATATAATATTTTATATGTAGCATTCACTTCCCTCTTATTGTGCCTTTAACCTTTTCATGTTTCTGTCTCAAAACACTTTCAAAAAGCTCCAACTTTAAAAGACTGAGCTATTTTTTTTTTTTAGTTTTTGGTTTTTTGGGTTTTTTTGTAATCAATTATGAAGTCTGTTAAGTGAAGGCATGATTTTCTAAAAACACAGAATTTTCTTGAGTGAGGAAAATACCACATGGCAGAAACAGATATGAGTCCAGTCACTCATTTTTTTAGCACTTTATCATTTTCCATAAGTAGTTTGCCACAGGTGTTCCACTGGGAAAATGAAGGGTAGTAAAGAATGCATTTAGGACATAGTCGAACCCAGTGGCAGATTATGTGCTACTAGCACACAGTAGCAAAGCAAATAGCTACATAATATTTACCATAAAGCATGTAGCCATATTTTCATATAGAGGTAAACAACAGTATAATTGCAAATGCAGTTTACAGGGTTTTTTGATATACTGGCTTTGGGTCCTATAAGATTCTTTTCAACTATTGCTGAAAAGCATGTAAATAATTACATAATAGCCTGAGAAATAATGGGATTTTGATAGTGTCATTTATTGCTAAAGATTTATTTTTACAAAGTAAATTCAGGGTTTTAGATGTGTATACAGCTTTTACAAATCAATAAAGATGATTGTACAAGAGTATTTTCAGACTAATTGGATTCAAGGTTATATTCTTTTAAGTATTGTTAGTCTGCATGCACATTGGCAGTAACTAGTTACCTGAATACTCTGTAATATTTATATAATGATCATTTCTTCTTAAGGATCAAGACATTAGAAAAAATTGGATCTAACTTAACCATTGATGAATTAAGTCAATTACAAGCACAAAAAAAAGAACTGTTTTTATATATATTTTGATTGATGTACAAGACTACGTCTACCTTTTTTGATCACCAATTGTAATTGATTGATGTACAATCTACATTTTTTGATCACCAATTGTAATGAAACACTAATTTTTGGAAAAAAAATAGGATAAGGTATTTGACAAAAGTGAATACAATAGCAACGTTTGTGTCAAAATGATGTAACTTGGTATAAAATTTAAGTTCAATATTTTGGCCAAAATGTTTGTTTTTCACTGGATTTCGAACATAGTAAATTTAAAAGCACCTTTTGTTGTTTGTCTGTTTTGTTTCTAATAAAGTAGCATGTAAAAAGAAACTGTATTTTAAGTCACAGTAAATGGGTTTTTTAAATTCATAGCAAATGAAGCAGTTTTATTAGCATGTTACAAATATGTCCAGATCAAGACTTCTCTATTCTTTGCTAGCTTTCCTTCAGAAAATTCTGAAGCTCTATTTGCAATAATAATAAAACCAGCATTTAGTACCAGCATATGGTTCATAGGCAAATAATATTTTCCCAAAATTTTTTTTTAGTTTAGGCTATGTTCTTGTTGCTGTACTTCCTGCACCCAACCAGCAGAATTCTTCAAGGGTGGAGGAATTAATCAACTTGTTTTCTGACCATACTGAACCCAAACCACAAATCTATTTGAAGAAAAGTAGTTACTTCATTTACTATTCTCTTTGAGACAAAAGTGACTATGTGTTTCCATTTGAGTATACTGTTAAAGGGTATTTCTTCTTTAAAATCTTGAAAAGCCTAAGAAAATTAAAGGCATATTGGTTTTGATTTGTTTTGTTATACTGTTTTTAACCCATATGCAAATAAAACTGCTTCTCTCTTACCCTGCTTTGAACTAGAAAGTAAGATGTTTAATGTAGGTTACTACTAATAAGCACAAAAGAATTACGTATAAGAAATCAGATATAAGTATTTCAAGTAAAATGTAAACAAAGTTTTTATTTGGTAGAGATGACTCATGGAAAAATTGTGTTGGCTTGGTCTGCATGTTTAATGACGTGCTTGTATATTGATAGATTTGTCATTTTAAGTAAGAAATACATAAGCAAGCCAAATTTTAAATGATGAAGTTCATAAATAACTGGAGAATTTTTGTCATTTATTGTTACTCAGTTGAAAGTCATAACCATTTATCACTAAATTGCACATTACCCTTATTTATTTATGCTGTTTTTGGTTTACATTGTAATAATACCTCATTTATAAAATAAAACCACTACTGTTACATTTTGTTAATTTAAACAGCTAGAAAATTCATGTTGTTACTTTTTTTTATAAATAATCTGTTATGAATTCTTGATTTTTGTATCTACCACAGTAAATTAAAGCATTACACAGTATTTATCAGTATTTATAAAATGCTTTGTCTTTTTTTTTTTTTTTTTTTTAGTAGTCCCCCTTTTGTTACAAATCTGTATTGTTAGTTTCTGGATAAAATTTTTGAAATATTAAATAATATCATTAGGCTTAGTTCATTTTGAACACCAGGAAATTAACTAAAGCCATAGGTTTAAAATATAAATGCAAGCTATTCTTTGCATTACTCTATCCCTTAAACTGGTAACTAGGAAAACTGATAAGTTTAGGAAAACTGCTAAAATATAGCTTCAGAAGACATGCTGTTGACACCACATATAACCAATTTCCTTAGCATATTTTCAGTATGAAATAATGTATATCCAGTATCTGGATGATCACACAGATACCCCACCAAATGAATATTATTGCCAATCAAGTACACCCAGAAGTAAATTGAGTTTGACATTTTATTGGCCACAGATAGACAACTTCAGATCTTAAGTATTCCTCCTCAGAACCAATCCTCTGGCCCTTTCCTCTCTTGCCCACATTTCCTAACCCTAAAGAAGAAAGAGGAGATTATAAAAATGTAGGAAAGAATGTTTTAAGTGATCCATATACAAATAAAACTACTTCTAAAAGTCTTAGGAATTTAATTCCTCCTGAATAACTTTTAAGAGATATTTCTTTACTCTGGATATTGATCCTTTGTATAATGGGAGTTGCATTGCTTAATTTTGAATCCTAAATTGCCAATGACTGGGTACTTTGGAAGATAGGTAGCTGGATGGAAGAAAGACCAGGGTGGGTTTTCTCAGGGGAGGACCCAAGATCTGTTTACCTGGCTGGCCATAGGTCCTTTACTCCAGGCTGGAGTAAATAATCTTTGATAAACCCAGACTGCCTTGGGTTTACCATTCACTATTACTCCTTAGACACATTAACTTCCCCATGCCTCAATTGTAAATAGAAATAATTTGTAAGATGGGAAAAATAAACCTACCTGGGATTTGCAGGGAAGAGTAAATGAATGTGTAAAGCATTCACGCAGTGCCTGACATAGAGTAAGCAATATTAAAGAATGCAAGACAAATAGTAGTGTTATTGTGATAACATCTTAAGTCATTGCTTTTGAAGCCATCTGGAGGTTTTTGACTCTCAAACATTGGGCTCAGCTACAAATTAAAGAACAGGAAGTGTTTTTGAGGTTTTAAAATTGCCCAAAAATCTTTCATATTCTAGAAATGACTTTAGAATTTATCTTAAGTCTCACTAGGCAAAGGTTTTAAATACTATTATACATGGGTAACAAGATAGTATTTTAGGGCTGGGGATATAGCTCAGTTGGTAGAGTGCTTTCCTTGCATGCACAAGACCCTGGGTTCGATCCCCAGCACCAAAAAATAAAATAAAGATATTGTGTCTACCTATAACTAAAAAATAAATTTTTTTTTTAAAAAAGATAGTATTTTAAAACTCAAAACAAGTGAGCCAGAGGATCCAAGATTGGGGGCCAAAGGGAGGCAGCACTCTGTGTCACTCTGTGACCTGGGACTCAAGTAGTGAGAATACTGTTTCTCTGCGAGGGATGTTCCTGCTCCCCCACAGAAATCACAGTCAGCCTGCCCCGTCCAGGGCTCCAGGCCTCAGTAGGTCTCCCAACTACTCGCCCTGAGTAGGACTATGGACAACACACCCATGCAGAACTTTCGGCAACCACCCGAGCAGAAGTCATGGACGCTGCTCCCACGCAGAACACCCAGGCAGCTTCCCACTCACAGGAACTCCAGCCGCCACTCCCTTGTGGACCTCCAGCTAGGGACTCCCCAAGTCCCCTCCATCTTGGGACTCTGTGGCAGCAGAGATAGTCCCCTAACGCACAGTAGCCTGCCTGCATGCCAGAACTTTATACAAGCTCTGAAGTCAGCTGACAGCCACACACTGCACGCCACAGAGCTCATCATCTCTCACATCTCACATATCAGAACTCATCATCCAACGCCATCGCCCAGTTCCCCTACTCAACCCAACATGCCATCGCTGAAAGCAGGCACCTCCATCTTGGGTCACCTTCATCGCCATCTTCAGTGGGGGCAACTCCCAGTTTGGAACTCCAGCTGGTCAGGTACCCAGTTTCTATCTTCTCCCTCTCCCCAGTAGCCACTACCCCGGCACAGTGACACCCTGGTTACCTTCATCATCCTGAGGGTGGAGATACCAGCTAACAACAGACAACCCCATCTATTGGATGAGAAGAGAAGCAGGAAAGATACTGATCTCCAACCAAAACAATCCCTATTTCTTTCTTCAAGATTTTTTTCCTCTCCCTCTCCATTCTGGCAAATCAAATACAAAAACATATCCAGAAGATAGATAGTGCACCATGATCAAGTAGGGTTCATCCCAGGGATGCAAGGTTGGTTCAACATATGGAAACAAATAAGTGTAATTCATCACATCAATAGACTTAAAGATAAGAACCATATTATCATCTCAATAGCTGCAGAAAAAGCATTCAACAAAATACAGTACCGCTTCATGTTCAAAACATTAGAAAAATTAGGGATAATGGGAACATATCTCAACATTGTAAAAGTTATCTATGCTAAGCCCCAGGCCAACATCATTCTAAATGAAGAAAAATTGAAAGCATTTCCTCTAAAAACTGGAACAAGACAGGGATGCCCTCTTTTACCACTTCTATTTAACATAGTTCTTGAAACACTGGGCAGAGCAACTAGATGAAAGAAATTAAAGGGATACAATAGGAAAAGAAGAACTCAAATTAGCACTATTTGCTGATGATATGATTCTATACCTAGAAGACCCTAAAAGTCCTACCAGAAAACTTCTAGAAGTAGTAAATGAATTCAGCAAAGTAGCAGGATATAAAATCAACAACCATAAGTCAAAGGCATTTCTGTATATCAGTGACAAATTCTCTGAAAGGGAAATGAGGAAAACTACCCCATTTATAATAGCCTAAAAAAAATACTTGGGAATCAACCTAACAAAAGAGGTAAAAGATCTATACAATGAAAACTACAGAACCCTAAAGGAAGGAATCAAAGAAGACCTTAGAAGATGGAAAGATCTACCTTGCTTTTGATAGGCAGAATTAATATTATCAAAATGACCATACTTCCAAAATCACTATACAGATTTAATGCAATTCCAATCAAAATCCCAATGACATTCCTTATAGAAATAGAAAAAAAATCATGAAATTTATCTGGAAAAATAAAGAGACCCAGAATAGCTAAAGCAATCCTCAGCAGGAAGAGTGAAGCAGGTAACATCACTATACCAGACCTGAAACTATACTACAGAGCAATAGTAACAAAAACAGCAAGGTATTGGCACCAAAACAGACTGGTAGACCAATGGTACAGAATAGAGGACACAGAGACTAACCCACAAAATTACAATTATGTTATATTAGACAAAGATGCCAAAAACATACATTGAAGAAAAGATAGCCTCTTCAACAAATGGTGCTGGGGAAACTGGAAATCTATATGCAACAAAATGAAATTAAGCCCCTGTCTCTCACCATGCACAAAACTCACCTCAAAGTGAATCAAGGACCTAGGAATTAAACCAGACACCCTGTGCCTAACAGAAGAAAAAGTAGGCCCAAATCTTCATCAAGTCAGATTAGGTTCCAACTTCCTTAATAGGACTCCTATAACACAAGAAGTAAAATCAAGAATCAATAAATGGGATGAATTCAAACTGAAAAGCTTCTTCTCAGCAAAAGCAATAATCAATGAGGTGAATAGAGAGCCTACAGAATGGGAGCAAATTTTTACCACACGCACATCAGATAGAGCAC